GCCCGGGCCCCCAGGAGGACCGCCCGGGGTAACCCGCGCCCTGAGCCCGAGCGCCGGCCGCCGCCCGGGCGAGTGGGCCGACTCTGCCCAGCAGTGACTGGGTTCTCAGAGATTTCCGAGTCGGGGGCGATGGTTTCCTCGCTCATAGCCTCGGTTTACATATTTTCATTCGTGCCCCGTCACCCGCAGGGACGTCACTTGAAAGAACGCCAGCTCTTCTCGCCAGTTACTCTTCTCCGTGCCTCTACGACGGTGTCGTGTGCTCCTGAAACGGTCCCCTGTTCTTTGGCTCCGCGGGACTCGGGGGAGGTTGGAGAGGGAAATAACCCGCGGGGACCGGACGGGAAAGCGCCAAGCAATGTTTGGGACTTATATGAAGAAAACGTGCCCTCGTTGGCACCTCTTTGTCTTTTGGGGTAATAAATTGGGGCGTATAACCCAGGTAGAGATAAATCAGCTCTTTTTCCTCTACAAATATTACGCTGATCCTTGAACTTTGGATCCTGCAGCCAGGAATGACCTGTAAATTTCCCAATTTCCTTAGCACTTTGTTTCTGTAAGCTTGTGCCACCTAATAGTCACCCTTATGTAGGTAAATCTATGCATGCTTTATCCCCTTAGAGAATCTTTGAGAACCTGCTTCATTCATTTATACAAATGAATAAATGCCTAGCCTTCCACAATGCCTAGCCTAGTGCCAAACTCATAGAAAGTACACCATAATTGTTATTGCATGAATATGTGAATATAGTGCAGTGAGACTTAAGTGTATGTCTAATGAGTTGTGCTCCAGAATGAATTTTTTTTTTCTTTTTTTTTTTTTTAGGCGAGGCAACCTTGGATTACCTCACAGATTGCAAGGACCTTGTCAGCTTACAATCTCTTTTTTTGTTTTTTTAATTTTTCACACCTACAACACCTGGTCTTCCTAGTTGGTCTCCCATCCAAGTACTAACCAGGCCCAACCCTGCTTAGCTTCCGAAATCAGACAGGATTGGGCTTGTTCAGGGTGGCATGGCCGTGGACCAGAATGAATTCTTTAGTTTAAAATTCTCCCTTTTGTCCCTCTTCAATTCCCCTGCACTCATTTGCCCACCTAGGTCCAAAACCTACCCTGAGAAATATGACGTTTGTCCAAAGGACCCTCCCTCTCAAGTTCTTTTTCTGTTTTCCTTGTTCCTAACTGAAATATCTGTGGATTTTGGGACATACTGAGTGTTGCAACTATGACGTGTTTCCCTTCCCTAAGGAGCTTCTTTCCAGAAGGTCCTTTATTAACCTCTGTATCCCAAAAATCTACCTAGCTCTGGGCCTGCCTCAAATGCTGGAAGGTTGATATTAGTAAAGGTAGGGTTAAAATGACTCAAATCGTCTGCTGATTTCCTGAGACATATACTATCTAACAATAAATCAGCCAACAAGTACATACTGAGCCTCTACTAAACAAGGTACTGCTGAAGTTACACTGGGCACCATGAGGAAGTCAACAGATTGAAAAAGCTGTAGTTTCTGCCTTCTGAGATCTCCCAACTAGAGAGAAGCTTTTTGACAAAAAGGGCAACAGTGTAATTATCTGCTCTCAGAAAGAAACTTAGCTCCCCCCTCCAAAAAAAAAGGAAATAAGATTTTTAAACGGTAAGTCCAAAATAAATATCATGTTCCCAAATTTAGTTCCATATGTCTCTGAAAGCAATAATAATGGCCACCGTTGGCTGTTAGTTAATTCTTCTACCGAAGTGTAGCATAACATCTAAGTCATTGTTATAGGATCAATTTATGTGCCAGCTTGTTACATGAAAAAAAACTCTGTCCCATGGCCACATGTCACACGTCTAATCACCAGGAGTCATTCTGTAAAATTGAATCGTTCCTCACAATAGAACCTAGATAAGAGATGTCACAAGAGAACCCAGATAAGAGACCAGTCACAAAAGAACCCAGATAAGAGACAGTGAAGGTGATTTGGTACAAACTCATCCTTAACCACCAGCAAAACATTTCCAAGTACATGTCAAAGACCTAATAACAAAACATTCTTCACATAATGTGTGCTGCTCATTTCTCTCCCCACTATGACTTCCTTTGCATTAAAAATATCCTAGCAGCCCTGGTTCATGAAAGGACTAAAGCTCTTGCTTTGGGGGAAGGTGTTATAAAGTATTCTGGCATGACTCATAACGTGACAGAAACTGGTGGCCTAGGTCCAGATCTAACCCACAAATATATTTTGTTTAAGCACCTGCATGGTGCTTCAGAAAATGTAGCCAAAGTTAGGAGTTAAAAGTCAGACGATTTCACATGCATTCCAGGCTTCTCTTTAAGAAACGAAAGATTTTGTAATAATGGGCTTACATTTTCACCTGATGACGATCGACTACAGGACATTTACTCTCTCTTTTCCCCCAGTTTCTACATTTCCTATTTTACCATACGTTGCCCTGTTTCCCTCATGTAGGTCTACGACTCTCAATTTAAAATATCAATATGAAAAAAACTGGAAACAAGTTAAACATGGAACAAAAATGGAAGAGTTTAAATTATGGTGTTTAATGGGGCTGAATATTATAATGCTTTTTATAATGAGCATTGTTAGTTGACTCCCCAGAATGCATTTCTACTCCTGTAATTGCAAGGCAGCTGTTGATGTAAGAATGTCAAAACCTGTAAAGAATTTTTATAAAAACTTATTTGAGTCAAACCGATGACAATTGGCAGGAAGTAAGATTTCAAGTGCTCCGGAGTTTTGCAGTTTCTGTATGCATTTGAAATTAAGGAGGGAATGTGAAGATGATGACAGGTGAGAGAAGCAAGGCTGGGACTGGATTACAGGATAGTCAAGGTTATGTGCTCTCTTCAGAGTGGTAACACCTTTGAGGGCTATTGTTTCTGGCGTTTCAAAGGTGTGTTAACCTAGATGCACAAGAACAATGAAAAAGGCTTGCTTAAATACCTTTCACTAAAGAACTTATAGGACTGAGGCGTGACTACCCACCATGACCTGTCCAGTTAGGAATTCATGATCCGATCACCCTGTGAGGTTATCGTCCATCGAACCCCTTTTCAGTCCACACAGCTAATGAATTAAATGAGAACAGGCCCAGCCCCAGCTCCAGGTGTGGGCCCCAACTGATGTACATATATAGTCCGCCCAATCTCATCCTCACGTGACTCTGTCAGTATTCATCGGTAGACTCACAGGTATCAACTGGTCCAGTCGTAAGGAAGGCCAGACCTTGTGTTTCTTGAGAGAAGAAATGTGCTTTCCCCCTTACTCTGGCTGGTGCAATGGGTTGATGTGAGTCCTATAGTTACTGCAGCCGTTTCGCTAACCAAGAGTGAAGCCGGCCTGAGGATACAGCTGACACAAGATGGAAGATCTCAAACCCAGCTTGAAGGCTACCGCTTTCTCTGGATTTAGTAAGTTCCCTGAGCCAATAAATGTTCTTAGCTATTTAAGAAAGTTCGAATTCAGCTTTTTACTACTTGTAGCCAAAGTTAAAATTTCCATGCATAGTGCAGAAGAAAAAGCTATAGTCACATTATCTGACTCTTCTTAGGATATATTTCCAATCGGATGAATAGGTAACAACCTACCTGATAAAATTTTAGAGGATCCTGAAACAAACTTGACCATCCCCAAAAAAATCCTTCCCTGACTAGGTTACCTGATGCCTGAGAATTCATCACTGCACTTGTTTTTAGCTTTGACTTAAATCCTGTGCCCTTTTTAAATCAACTTTCCCTGGAAAGAGTACTTCATGACTCTATAAATGAGTTCATTGATGGTTTTCAGCGTTGTTTTCTTTTTAATTGCGATAAGACTAGAAAACAGACACTGGGAACCAGAGGAAGACAGGAATCACAGAGGGAGCGAAGATGTTAAAACAGGGGCCTGGA